ATGAGGAGTTTCAAGAATATGGCGGTTCTGCATCGTTATAATGACCCAGTACAATGTCGAGCTTTCCTGACGACCTTGCGGGGATCTGCGCAAGATTGGTTTCATCAATTACCAGCAGGAGCCATCAAGGACTTTGAGGGATTCAGTGCGAGCTTTCTCAATCAATTTGCAAGTGTCAAACCATAAGAGAAATCATATCTGACCTTCATGGGCATACAACAGAAAGAAAGCGAGTCACTGTGAGACTATGTGGCAAGATACACGCGGGCGTGCGTCGAGGTGCCCAGGGCGTCGGAGGAGATAAAGGCGGGAGGTTTGACCCGAGGGTTGTTGCCGGGCTTACGCAGGAATTCTTTGGCAAAGCGCTCGGGTAGAACATTCGATGAAGTATTGGGAAGATGTGCGAAGCACATGAATGTCGAGGAAGCGGAAGCCGACTTCTTGCAAATGGTTAAAGCGAGTAAAGCTGACTCTCGGGATGAGAGGAGGGAGAAGAAAAATTCCTCGACTGGGGAAAGAAAGGGGTCCCCACGAGCAGAAAGAGAGGGGCGACCTAGGGGTTGGAGGCCGACGCAATACACCACTTTGTTGGCCCCTCAGGCGCGAATTTTGGAGGTGATGGAAAGGGAAATTCATGACAATGTCGTCAGATGGCCCAAGACAAGGAAGGATGGGCCAACGAGACTAAAAAGTAATCTATACTGCCGATTTCATAAAGATTATGGGCACAATACTGACGACTGCAGACATCTTAAGGACGAGATCGAGAGACTGATTAAAGCAGGACACTTGAAGGAATTCATATACAAGGATCGGGAGAAGTCGAGCAAGAAAAGAGAAAGGAGCAAGAGCCCTCGCAAGAGGGCGAGAACGCCTGAGAAGGAGGAGCTTCCTCAGAAAAGGAGAGTCATACATATGATATTCGGTGGATCGACTGATGGAGATTCGAATCGAGCAAGGAAGACGTATGCTCGAGGACGCCATGGAAAAGTCGAGGTACAACAAGTCGACGAGAATGATCTTGTAATGAACTTTGGCCCAACAGATGTGGAAGAGGTCGAGAGACCTCACAATGATGCGTTAATAATAATGGCCCAAGTATCAGGATAGGAAGTGCAGAGAGTGTTTGTCGACACTGGGAGTTCAGTGAATGTGATCTTCTATGATTGTCTCAAGAGGATGGAGCTAGACATACAACTCACACCCCTCCATACCTCGCTGTTTGGTTTCAATGGTTCAGAGGTCGCGCCCCTAGGAGAGACTATGCTCGCTGTCGTCCTAGGGGAAGGCGACTTGCGAAATGTAAAAATGGTAAGATTCGTGATATTTGATGTCGAGTCGGCTTACAATGTGATCCTGGGAAGGCCAACGCTTAATGCATTTCAGGCTGTGGTGTCAACTTACTACATCAAGTTGAAATTCCCAGTTGGAGATCGAGTGGGAGAAGCTCGAGGCCATCAAAAGCTGTCAAGGACTTGTTATCAAATTACTGTAAAAACCAACCAACGGGCCAAAGTTAAAGAAGGAAAGAAGCCAATGTCGAGCGAGAAGAGGCCAAGGAGTAGCGATCTTGAACCATACGGGGAGTTAATTGAAATACAAATTGGAGAAATGAAGGAACAGACCACTAAGGTCGGGAAAGATCTGGAAGACGAGTTGCGAGACCAACTTATCGCATTGCTAAAGGAGTTCAGGGATATTTTCGCTTTTACCCCTGAGGAGCTGAAGGGGTTCGACCCTACCATTATGGAGCATAAACTTAACGTCGACCCCCTCAGAAAGCCAGTAAAACAACGACTTAGACACCATGGTGGAGAAATTGACAAAGCCATTAAGGTCGAGGTGGATAAGTTGCTGCGAGCGGGGCATGTCAAAGAAATCCAATTCCCCGAGTGGATATCCAACACGGTGATGGTAAGGAAGGCACTAAACAAATGGCGCATGTGCATCGATTTTCTTGACTTGAACTTGGCGTTCCCCAAAGATCATTATCCCTTACCACGAATTGATCAGCTAGTCGACTCCACGACTAGTTGCGAATTGCTAAGTATGATGGATGCATCTCAGGGATATCATCAGATTCCGTTGGCCCCTGAGGATCAGAGTAAAGTGAGTTTTGTGACGAGCAAAGGGACGTATTGCTATGTCGTCATGCCTTTCGGACTTAAGAATGCAGTAGCAACCTACCAACGATTGATGGATCGTATGTTCGAATCTCAGATCGGACGAAATATTGAAGTATATGTGGATGATATCTTGGTGAAAAGTAAGTCCTCAACTTCACATCCAGACGACTTAAGGGAACCATTTAAAACCCTTAGGGCGTTTGGGATGAAGTTGAAACCAAGCAAGTGTGCCTTTGGAGTAAAGGCAGGTCGATTTTTGGGATATATCGTCACAGAACGAGGAATTGAAGTAAACAGGGAAAAGGTGAAAGCCATACTCGACATGGCCCCACCAAGAAATATAAGAGATGTGCAAGTCTTGACGGGAAGGATTGCGGAACTAAGCAGGTTCATTGCTCGAGCCGCAGTGAAAAGCTTCCCATTCTTCAAATTGCTCAAAAAGAGGTCGACTTTCTTGTGGAGTGACGAGGCACAAATGGCCTTCGAGAAATTGAAAGAGTTCTTGGGCGAGCTACCTTTGTTGACGAAACCTCAGCCCGGTGACGAGTTGGCTCTATATATATCTGTGGGTTCGGTGTCGCTATGTTCAGTGTTGCGAGAAGAAAGAGGTGTCCAACAGTTAATTTACTATACCAGTCGAGTTCTCCAGGGTGCAGAGACGAGATACTCTGAAGTCGAGAAAGCTGTCTTGACACTGGTGATAACATCTAGAAAATTAAGGCCATATTTTCTGAATCATGTGGTAGTAGTGAGGACAAATTTCCAACTGGGAGAAACACTGGGTCGACCTACGGTATCAAGTTGGCTCGTAAAATGGGCGGTCGAGTTGAGCGAATACTCCATCAAATACGAGCCAAGACAGGCCATAAAGGCCCAAGAATTAGCAGATTTTATCCAAGAAGGCACCAAGGGAGAAGAAAAGAAATGGGTCATGCACGTTGACGGCTCCTCGACAGCTAAAGGATCTGGTCTTGGAGTCGTCCTCGTGTCACCCGAGAGTAAACAGCTCGACTTTGCCATTAGAATGGGATTTAAGGACTATAACGAAGCAGAATACGAGGCGCTAATCAAAGGAATCCAACTCGCAATCGGTGGCGGAGTGATAGAAATTGTGGCACATTCTGACTCACAATTGGTTGTTGGACAAGTATTGGGAAGTTGCGAGATTAAGGAAGATCAGATGATGGAATATGTCGAGGAAATCCAAAGCCTTGTTCAGGGCCTAGAGAAGTTTGAGCTAACCCAAATCCCTCGAGAAGAAAACAAGCGAGCAGATTGGCTCGCAAGAATTGCGAGCTCGAATGATGGAAAGATGAAGAGTTCTATCACCACCATGCATTTGGAAGGAAGCGTGTTGGGCGAGACAATGGAAGTCGAGGAAAAGGACGATTGGAGGAAGTCGATTCACGAACTCCTACAGGGTCGAGTACCTATGGGATGTAAGCAGCATGCAGAAAGGGTTGCTCGATACCTAAGCAAATATTTCGAAGTCGATGGCGTCATGTTCAAAAACTCTTTGGTTGGGCCCCACTTGCGATGCGTTTCTGAAGACGAAGGAACTCATTTCTTGAAAGAAATACATGAAGGATGTTGTGGAGCACATATAGGGTCATGAGCTTTGGCAGGCAAAGCCCTGCGAGCAGGGTATTACTGGCAAAAAATGCGAGCAATGGCGGAACAGCTAGTCCAGAAGTGCGAGAAATGTCAACGTCATGGGCAAATCACTCATATTCCCGCCGAATACATGACGACCATCAATACCCCAATCCCCTTCGCGCAATGGGGAATCGACTTGTTAGGCCCATTGCCAACAGGGACAAGACAGAGAAAGTTCTTAGTGGTCGCTGTCGACTATTTTAGCAAGTGGGTCGAAGCGGAACCATTGGCGAAAATCACAGAGGAGAAGATGATTCAATTCATGTTTAACAACATCTGTTGTCGATTCGGAGTTCTGAAAAGGCTAATTTCTGATAATGGGACTCAGTTCCAGGGAAAGCGAATTAAAGCATGGTGCCTCGACATGGGCCCAGGCCAATGGCCGAGTCGAGGTGACTAATCGAACCATTCTCCAAGGGCTGAAGAAGAGGTTGGAGAAGGCATCAGGCGCTTGGGTCGATGAGTTGACAACAGTCCTGTGGGCTTATAAGACGACTCCAAGAAGTTCAACAGGCCAGTCGCCATTTCACATGGTTTACGAAATGGATGCACTCTTGCCTATCAAAGTTGGCTTGGATTCTCATAGGTCGATATTCTATGAGAAGAAGAAGAATGAGAAAATGATTGAGGATGCCCTCGACATGATAGAGGAGGGGCGAGAGGAAGCTTGGGTGCAATCCATGGAGTACAAGCAAAAAATACGTGTCGCCTTCGACAAAAAAGTCCGAACCAGACGATTTCAGGTAGGTAATCTCATCCTAAAATGAGCAGATGCTCTTAAACATGTCGGAAAACTCGAAGCCAACTGGGAAGGACCCTACACCATCACAAGGGTGCTCGAGAGAGGTGTGAATGAACTCGAGGATGGCAAGGGACGACAGCTGCCGCGATCATGGCATGTGATCCATCTCAGGCGCTTTTATGCTTAAGGCTATGTTTTGAAACTCTTTTGTAATGAACAATGCTCAATCAAATTCAGTAATGCAATGACCTTCAAGTTTATGCTTCAATTGTGTCTTTTACATTTTCATGTCGATCTTAATATGATTTTTTTTTGAGAAATCGAATTTTTCAAAGCGGTTATGAAGCTGCCCAACTTCAACGACTACGAAGTCGACCCAAAACAACTACGAAGTTGTATCTCGAGTGGAATCTCGACTAAGCTACGAAGCTTACGACTACGAAGTCGACTGAAACAACTACGAAGTTGTATCTCGAGTGGAATCTCGACTAAGCTACGAAGTCGACCAAAACAACTACAAAGTTGTATCTCGAGTGGAATCTCGACCAATCTACGAAGCTTACGACTATGAAGTCGACCAAAACAACTACGAAGTTGTATCTCGAGTGGAATCTCGACTAAGCTATGAAGCTTACGACTATGAAAATCAACTTAGAACGTATAACGAACGATTACATCCCTACATTATAGATGATCAGCTATGAAGCTGCTAAAAGTGTTGCTCGACTTCAACTAGCTCGCAAGCCAGGTCGGGAGAAGACGAGTTGAAAAACTTTTTGTTTACCAGCTATGAAGCTGTTAAAAGTCATTGCTCGACTTCAACCAGCTCGCAAGCCGGGTTGGGAGAAGACGAGTTGAAAAAATTTTTGTTTACCAGCTATGAAGCTGTTAAAAGTCGTTGCTCGACTTTAACCAGCTCGCAAGTCGGGTTGGGAGAATACGAGTTGAAAAACTTTTTGTTTACCAGCTATGAAGCTATTAAAAGTCGTTGCTCGACTTCGACCAGCTCGCAAGCCGGGCGGGTAGGAAACATACAAGACGAGTTGAGAAACTTAAAAAAAATTCAACGCATAATCAATCACGAGAATCGACAATAAACAGAAACAATGAGCCAAAAGAGATTGGAATTATATTAAGCAAATAGTTCATTACATCCGTAGTCGTCTCAACCTTTACAATTTTGAAAATAGGTTGAGTACGGCAAAGAAAAGGAAAGCATGACAAACAAAACATCGAGCAAACAGTTAATTTTTCTGAGAGTCGACGGTCGACTTCTCAGCAGCTTGATCACCCACATCCCCAATAGACTCAGTGCCCGCCTTTCCATCCTCCTAATCGGTTCCGTGCCTGCACGCCCATCCTCGCTGACTGGCCCCGGGCTCGGGCGCTCGACCTCAACCTCCTCGTCCAGAGGTTCTTCTTCCTCCTCGTCATCTGCCCCACTCGGTTTAACCAAGTCTGTCGGACCGACTAGGGGGATAAGAGAAACCTCAAGTTTAGAGCCCAATCGGGCCTTTCGTATTGCTGGAGCCTCAAGTCCCGACCACCACTGATA